CTGTGTCGCATCGGGTTATTAGTGACTCGTGGGTCGGTGCGCACACCTGAGGCGTATTCCGGGGATTTGTTGGCTTCCTTATTTATACTTCTGGCAGAAGCCCCGTTGTCGCCGGAGCATTGTGATGTGTAATGGACAATACTTAAAGTAAGTTATACAAATATGTATATATGTTTTTATTCCATTAAACCTTCTCTTTTGTACTAGCACCTGGGTCAGCCATCTTGAGTCCAACCCCAGTTCTCCCTCACCCTCCTGGTGAGGGGGACTAAACCATAACAGTTACAGCCATTTTGATTAAAAAACTGCACTAATCATTCATTTAAACAGTATCTGTCTTTACAAGTGGCAAGTTTTCAGAAACACCACTCTTCATACAATCAGACTGGCAGTTGCTGTTGCTATGGGGATGAACAGTTGAGATTTTATGCCTCTGATTGTCTGAACAGTGCACTTTGCCTGAGCGCAAGAGGCCTGATTCAGGGGTATTCATGTGTGCCGTTATGCAGCAATTACCACCGTCAGGTCGGGGACGTGTTGCTCTGAGACTTCTCTGTGAAACCTGGGATTGCTTCTGCCGTTCGTCATCAGACAAGATACAATACAGCCTTTATTCCTCATCAGAGGCTCGTATTGTTCCTCTGGAGGGAATCTGCACGGCCACTCTGGCCGTTCTCATGTTCGGGTTTTAAAATTCAAAGGCTCTGCTGCTCTGAAGGTAGAAGCTGGAGAGGATGCATGTGGCGCACAAACGTGTGCACGTGATTTCTGTCTAATCTGGTTTCTGAGAAGTGCACTCTGCGCTGATGTGAAGCGTAACAGACACAAGAATTTAAATGTCGATGCCAGGCATGACGCTTCGCTCATGCATTTTTTTTCTTCAGCTGAATAATAAGGCCTTATTTAGTCCGATGGGTCTGAACAAGGTTACCCATGTGTTACTGCCTGAGTGTTTACAGGAAGCTGCTTCACTTCTGCCTCAGCAGAGAAATGATATGTTAGGACGTTTATCTCTTTGCATATTTAGCTGGTTGAAGATGAAGTAGCACGTGTCTGAACTGGAATTTATATATATATATATATATATATATAATATGTGTGTGTAAAATGAAAGTAGGTCTGGAGTAGCAACATAAAGTAAGATCCTAGGTCATTGAAAAGATCAGATTCTAGAGCCGAGTTTTTTAAAATGTCATTCAAGTGAAGATTTCAGGTTCTTGGTTAAAGCAGTGAATTTGTACTGAAACATGAAAATCAATCCTAAGCAGTCATTAGGGCTGCAACCAAAAGTTATTGTCAAGCATTTTAATTGTATTGATTTGTATTGAAAATGTAAAAACTAATGGCAGATATTAATGAAGTGGTAGGACATTTGAGTTTAGCTGACAACGCAAGTGTTTCAACAACTGGTTCAAATGTGGACATCTTGCATTTCAAACCTGCAACAAGCCAAAAACTTGTTAAAAAGAACAGTGAGTTAACATCAAGGTGACACCGTATGATCCAAGCATACAGCTGGTGTTTTACACGTCCAGCCGTTACAGAGCATCAATCATTCAGAATTGTGTTGGTTCCAGCTGATGAATCTTTTAGCTCCATCTTTGGTCTCCACCATCTCTTGAGGGAAATACCTGACTCTTTAGCTGCTAAATGTTCCACTGTTTGTGGCTGAGCAGGTAGTAGACAGTGGATTTGTAGAGCTTTACTCTCAAAAACAACTGCTTCCTGCTGCAGGATAAAACAACACTAGCAGTGAGAGTGAACCAAAAGAGTAAAGCTGTGGTCTGGATACTAAACAGTGAGCTGAATCTCCCTATAAAGTTCTGTGAATCTGTAAGGACACGTAGATTCTCTGTAGATTTGAGTTGAAACCAGGGTCAAATCCTTTGCCATTAACAGAAATCCCAAATGACAGTATATACAGTACATTCAGGTATTTTACTTAAAGGAGCAGTTAAAAAAATAGAATAGGCTTATTCACTTTTTTTGCCAAGAGTTGAATAAGAAGATCAAGACTATTCTCATATCTGTGCAGTAAAACTGTAGCTCCTTAGCTTAGCTTAGCCTAAGGGCAGAACACAGCTAGCCTGGCTATGTCCAAACGTACTTCGAATTGTGAGGAAAGTTAAATCACCCTAACAGAATCCATCTACCAGCTCTGTCTAGAAACGTTCATTAAATCAGTTTGAACTACAATGATTAGCTGATTAATACATATGTCAGTAGACAGAAAATTAATCATCTAATTTTGATATTATATCAATTGTTTAATTCATTTTCATACCAAATATGTCTGCTTCTCTAAGTGATAATAAACTGGAACATTTTTGGGTTTTGAACTGTTGGTTGGATTAAACATTATATTTGAAGACCACGTTGGAGTTCAGAAAATTTTAACAGGAATTTTAAGATATTTTCTAATTTTATAGACTAATCATTTATTGGCAGATTAATCAATAATGAGAATAATCATTGCAGCCCTAAAATCAACTGTACAAGCTAAAGGAGCACCCTGATTTAAGCATCACTCTGCGGATGTTGGGTTTGGAGCTTGATGCTTGCACCAATTAGGGGCTTTTGAAAATCTGATTTCCACACAAAGCACCCCCAAATTTCCTGAAAATAATTTAGCTCACAGATGTCGCCTCCTTTCCCATCCTTCCTGTTTGCTTTTTGCATGACAGATGTGCATCTGGTGTGACCTCAGGGATTAAATTTCCTCCTCTCTCTCTTCTGTCCATCATGAGATTCATCATGGTGGAGACCGTCCAGTTAAAGGGGAAACGGTTCCCAAAACTAGCATCCTCCAGCACCTCCTGACAATCACTTTAACTCCTGCATTTCATTTTTACAGATATAGGGCATTGATTTACAAGAATGGCCACTCCACTCTCCCCTCTCTTATTATTCAAACTCTTTCCTATTTCTGCTGCAAAATCAGGCCGAGCAGCTGCACCGCCTCCACAAACACAGCTTCCTTCATAAATCCAATAAGTTTTTACAGCACATGTACATGAAAACGAAATTCATTCTACAGCCAAATATAGTGATATTTACTTAACCTTGTAAAAATGTTCCACTGCTGTTTCTGCTGCAATTATATTTTAAGATCTTAGTTTGTAGTTTTATTTAAACAACATTTACTGATATTTTATTATTACCTTGCATTTGTTGCCCCTTTACACATTTCCATTTGATTTTTTGACTCATATGCACTTAATTGTTGTTCATATGACACAAAAACTTATTTTCATGTGCATTTGAAATATATGTAGGCTACGATTATGTCTGCACTGTGGTGATTTGGTGTACAAATTTACCTGTAAGGCACACAGGTGATCAGTTAACTGCAGGCACCATATAATACATGTAAATACTTAAATATAAAACACAGCTTCTGCTACACCAATACTTATACACACTGTGCTGGAAGATCCGTGCCCACAATCCCCCACAGTCAGAGGGCACCGGAAAACCAGAAGCCAAAGCGGGTTTTATTAATTTCTGCAAAGCTCTAAGGTGCAGTTTTAAATATTAAACGCATTAGTCGTTTAGTTACTTTTATGAAAATGAACAAAAGCGGCCTCTACGCCAGTGTTTGAAATGAAGAAATGTTTGTCTGAGTGTTTGCAGAGTCGTTACAAAGGCAGATTAATGCTCCGTACCTGTCTGCGGGCTGATCCAGTGTCTCAGAGCAGGAAGGTCTCCGTCCTCCGCTGCTTCATCACACTGATGATGCTGCTGATGATGAAGAGGATGATGATGATGATGATGGTGATGATGATGCGGGCTGTTGTGGGCGACAGGCAGAGGGGTGCGCAGGACTCCCGGTGAAGTTGCCGCTGGCGTCTAAGTGTTCGGAGACTGCGCAGTAGAGCGGGACCGGTGCTGCCTTCACGGACTGTCAGAAAGTTTCAATCTACCAGAGGTATGCTCGTGCTACAGGGGTCACTAATTAGGTTCAGAATAAAACAAACAAACAAATCAGAAGGAGGGCGACAATAGCTCCATAACAACCCTTTTTCCGTAATGGCGGATCACGGGAACATCAAATAGTTCCAAACATTAGGAGCATTACATTGGAGCATGACATTGACTTAGCTCCTATCTTCTAAAGTAATTTGATATTAATAGTTGGGTGAAATTAATAATTAAGATTATATTCTTTCTATAATCTTGATTTGTTAATTTTATTTTTATAGTTTTTAAACCGGTTATGATTCATGGAATTTACGAGGACCACCTAAAGGCAGCACGTAATAAGTTAGCTGAATTTGCCAGGTAACGCTAAATTTATCACAATTTATAATAGTTTAACTTATAGACACACCAAGATGTTGTCTCTTTTATATGTTATTATATGTAAAGCTTTTCTGTCAAATAACGCTAAATTAGTGCAGTAAAACGTAAAATATATATCCCCCTAAAATGTAAAATTAATGAAGTGACCTAGAAGTAGCTAACGTTAGCCCATAAAGTGGCATTAAATAGAAGTAGCCTAATGTTATTGAAATTAACTGCATGATTTGAAGTAAATGTAGCCTATTTATTTACTTTCCGCTATGCTTATAGAAAATATAGGCCTAATTTAGCCACTCGTTTTTGTCATTAAGATAGCATAAACACTTTCAGCGTGTGATATTTAGATAATTTACTTTTAGCTTTGTTTTATCCCAGGAAGAGAGACAGTACACAATTATGGTAGACTACTTGTGAACTGTGTCTCCCTCTAGTGTGCAAATTAACACTTCCTATGACAGTGTTGTATAGTTGAGAGATGATAAACTAACGTTGAATAATAATAATGACATACCTTTTTATTATTTGTTTTAATGCTTTACTTTTTTCTTTGCTTTTTGGTAAGTCAGATTAATGTACAACCTTTCAGTATGTTCAATATGTCAGAAGGAGCTTTCCAGTAGCCTACTCCTTCACCCCACTTTGTTCAACTTTGGCAGCAAATTAAATGTTTATTCTAACTTTTGGTGAACTCATATTTTGTAAAATTTGATCAGTTTCAGTAAATCAAATGCTAAACACCAACTTGTTGAACTGTAGTTACAAGACAAAGCTTTGACCACTGACCTAAAATATAGATGTCATCATCAGCCTCAAACAAAGTTTTGCACATAATATTCTTTATTGTGTGTAACTTTGCAAACATGTCAGGTTAACGCCTATCAGAATACAAACAGGAGCATAATCAAATGAAATTCTAGAAGTAATTAAAAGCTATTTACACAGCCAGTTCAATATTTGTACAGTGATGTTGAAAGAAAACATACTATTAGCATATTTTTACCATTGCAAATCAGGTTCTGAGTAGCAAAGTTTTAAGAAAAATACAGCTGCAGCAGTACACCTGCTGTCTTTTATCATAAGCATTTCATTTCGGCTTTGCTTAGCTATTACTTCTTTACATTTTAGCTACAGCAACAAGAATAAGTAGTTTGGTGATACATGTTAATATTCATATTTTTCTGTTATATACTGCACTGTTGTATTATAGGTGTTCTATCAATTTTACAATGAAATTATTGTAAACATATTTTTGGAATGTCAGTAACTGATTAAATTTGTGAACAGTCTTGTTCAGAGTTTTGCATCAACCATTTTTAAATCAACTGCCCTGGTAATTATCATTTTGTAAAACAAGTGCACAAGTAACTCATGTTAATAATGTACATTAAAAACTATGAAACAACAAAGATATTGATGAGTTTTGATAAGCAAATGACATGGCTTACTTCAGTTCTGTACCATAATAAGCAAGAATATTTGGTGAAAACCTGTTATAATTTGCAGTAAGGGCACTCAGTTACACCGCTTCTTAACAATTTGATTACACTGTCAGTGAGATTTACATGAATCCTTCTCTGTATAAGTCACCAGCATGCAACCAGAGACTGAAGCTGACAACTGAACACTGACACATTCTTTTAAAGGTATACAAGCTTTTCCAGTTGGCAACATGTTTTCTCTCTCACTTTCCTGTCACCTGGCTATGACCAGTGAAATTCACAACCTACAATCCAGGGATTGTATTATATCTTTTAGACATTTAGATTGAGCTGTTTCACTTCTCAGCTCCATCAAAGAACCTCATTTTCTCAGAGTGGACAGAGTCTCTCAGTCGTTGTATAGATGAGGCTGTTTCACCTGAAATGGGTTCAGAAGACTCAACTATAGGCCTGTGTGGAATTTGTTTAGTTACAACTGTTTCACTTTTCTCGCTAGATATTTCCCCTATTAAGTGCTTCTCGACGACTGTTCTCTTGCCACTTTGTGAGTCTTCGACAGTCCATGACGTAGCTGTTTTAGCCTCAGGTTCTAAGGGAAGGTCGCCAGATGACTGAACCTGGACAGCAGTTAGTATCTTGGCATGATGTGCTTCTGGGGTGACTTGTATATTTGATTTGATGACATGCATTTTTCCAGATTCCAATCTAGGTGAGCTAATATCAGCAAAGGCATCTGATGACTGGACAGAACTGGAGGGGCTTAATTCTTCAAGTCCTATTTCCCCCCCTGGACTCTTTTTATCTTTGTGATCATCTTTTTTAGAAACTTTTTGAGGTTCTGATTTTGAGAACAGTCCAGACTCAGGAAATTTAAACCAGCCTGTCCTCTCAGGACTTTTGGTAGTATCTTTTTTATTTGCTTCCTTTTTCTTAGTCTCTGGCAGATCTGGAAATTCAATACCAATTGTATTGATTAGCTTATCAAATGACATCAAACTAGATTTTGTTGATTTACTCTCTCCTTTTGCCTCAACTTTCTTTTCTAGCTGATTCTCTTTGCTTTTAGTTTCAAGAATGACATTGTCGTCTTCAAGTCCGGGTATTGAGAAGGTCACATCTGGCATCTGAATTGGTCGTAGTTCGAATTTACTTGGAGATCCAGGGCCCACCCCGCCCCTCTCAGTTTTTAGTGTTTTAGAATCCAATGTGGCTGGTTTGGACATAGCCGTCCTCTCAAGACTTTTAATATCTTGCTTTATAATCGCTTCCTTTTTCTCAGTCTCTGGCAAATCTACAATTTCAACATCAGTTTTGTTGAGTCGCTTACCAAATGGCATCAAACTTGATTTTGTTGATTTACTTTCTTCTTTTGCCTCAACTTTCTTTTCTAGCTGATCTTCTTTGCTTTTAGTTTCAAGAACGACATTGTCGTCTTCAAGTCCGGGTATTGAGAAGGTCACATCTGGCATCTGAATTGGTCGTAGTTCGAATTTACTTGGAGATCCACGACCCACACCGCCCCTCTCAGTTTTTAGTGTTTTAGAATCCAATGTGGCTGGTTTGGACATAGCCGTCCTCTCAAGACTTTTAATATCTTGCTTTATATTCGCTTCTTTGCTTTTAGTTTCAAGAAAGACACTGTCGTCTTCAAGTCCGGGTATTCCGAAAGTCACATCTGGCATCTGAATTGATCGTAGTTCAAATTTACTTGGAGATCCACGACCAACACCATCCCTCTCAGTCTTTGGTGTTTCAGAATCCAATAATGCTGCTTTGGAAAGATCTGGAACATCAGCTTTTGGGGCATCAAGGTTGACATCACCCTCAGAGGTCTTAATAATTGGCTTTGAAAAAGACAGTTTTGGCAATGTCCAGCTTGTCTTTTTCAAGTTTGCATCACCCTCTATAGGTGGTGCCTGTGACACAGAAAATGGAGTTGCAGACTCTTTGAGTTCAACATCAGGAAGTTTCACTTGAGCCTTTACTTCTGGTGAATTTAAATCAGCTCTTTCCACATCATGTACTTTGACCTGTGGATTAAGCCTTCCAAATTTGGGTAATTTGAATGTCGGCATATTCAATTTTGATGGTGATCCTTTCGTATCCTTTTTCACAGCTTTGATCTCAGGAGCTTTGGCTTCCACTTCAGCTAATGGTTCTTTAAGTTCAGCGCAGGGGAGTTTGACTTCAGCCTTGGTTTCTTGTTGTGCCACATCTAAATCTTTCTTTGTTGAGCTTGAATCAATGTCTTGTCCTTTGCCTTGGGGCACAGAAAATCCAAGACTTGGCAGGTTGAACTTGCTTCCTTTCTCGTCATGTTCAGTTCCTGTAGTTTTTATATCCACTGATGGGCATTTGATGCTGGGTGCTTCAGTGTTTACTGCAGGAACCTCTTCAGTAATGATGCCTTCGCACATATCTGGTACTTCTGTAGTGGTACTTGGAGTGCCACCTCCAAATTTTGGCCATTTCACTGTCGGCATATTCCATTTTGATGGGGATCCTTTCGTATCCTTTGTCGCAACTTTGATCTCAGGAGCTTTGGCTTCCACTTCAGCTGATGGGTCTTTAAGTTCAGCACAGGGGAGTTTGACTTCAGCCTTGGTTTCTTGTAGTGCCACATCTAAATCTTTCTTTGTTGAGCTTGAATCAGTGTCATGTTCTTTGCCTTGGGGCACAGAAAATCCAAGATTTGGCAGTCTGAACTTGCTTCCTTTCTCGTCATGTTCAGTTCCTGTAGTTTTTATATCCACTGATGGGCATTTGATGCTGGGTGCTTCAGTGTTTACTGCAGGATCCTCTTCAGTAATGATGCCTTCGCACATATCTGGTACTTCTGTAGTGGTACTTGGAGTGCCACCTCCAAATTTTGGCCATTTCACTGTCGGCATATTCCATTTTGATGGGGATCCTTTCGTATCCTTTGTCGCAACTTTGATCTCAGGAGCTTTGGCTTCCACTTCAGCTAATGGTTCTTTAAGTTCAGCACAGGGGAGTTTGACTTCAGCCTTGGTTTCTTGTAGTGCCACATCTAAATCTTTCTTTGTTGAGCTTGAATCAGTGTCATGTTCTTTGCCTTGGGCCACAGAAAATCCAAGACTTGGCAGTCTGAACTTGCTTCCTTTCTCGTCATGTTCAGTTCCTGTAGTTTTTATATCCACTGATGGGCATTTGATGCTGGGTGCTTCAGTGTTTACTGCAGGATCCTCTTCAGTAATGATGCCTTCGCACATATCTGGTACTTCTGTAGTGGTACTTGGAGTGCCACCTCCAAATTTTGGCCATTTCACTGTCGGCATATTCCATTTTGATGGGGATCCTTTCGTATCCTTTGTCGCAACTTTGATCTCAGGAGCTTTGATTTCCACTTCAGCTGATGGGTCTTCAATGACCATCTCTGCCTCTGGAATAGAAACATCTACACCTCCAAGAGTAACGTCAGCCTCAGGGGCTTGTGGAGGTTTGACCTCAGCTTTAGCCTCTGGTAGTGTGATTTGTGAATTGTTTGGGGAGGAGCTCACATCAAATTCAGGCCATTTTATTCTTGGCATTTTGATGGCAAACTTTGGCTTTTTGACCTTGCTTCCTTGTCCATGAAGGTCACCCTCAATCTGCACAGGTTTGATTTCCAGTTCAGGTTTTTCAACATATATCTTTTGCTCTGGAATA